GTTATGGCTTCGACTTGTGTAGTAGAATCGTTGAAGAGCATATTGATTGAGCTGGAGAATTGTTTGAAATGCTATTTATATAGTATCAACATAATCTGTAGAGACAGGAAAAAGGGCTTACGTAAACAACCAAATATCTACGAGAAAACCCGAAAAGTAGAAAAAATTCAAATACACAAGCACAGAAAATCTCATAATCATTATGCCCTTAAGAAATGTAATAGGTGGTTGAAAAATCAAAAAACAACAGAAACAGAATTTTGGAATGTAATATACCAAAAGTATAAGGATACACGAAACAAATATACGCAATTTTCCGAAAAAGCTGAACTGTTTATTAACAATGAATCTGATCAAAATAATCAATATACACTAATAGATTGGTCTTGGGATCTTGTAACATATGCCAACGATCAGTTGAATCTTTTGTTCGCATACATTGATGGTCAAAGAGAAATTCTCAAAGATGAAGTTCAACCGATTGACTATCTTGAAATGGTTCATAGTAATGATAAAATTGCCAAACTTTTCCAGAAAACATACAAGGAAATGATTTTAGGAACACATAAGTATCGTTATATTATATCGTGTAAATGTCATAAAACATAGCATATGTTATGTTTTATTTCATAACATTTTAATTATATAAATATTATTAAAAAAATATGTCTTTTGTAAATTATATTTATTTAATATACATTATTAGTATAATTTTAAAATTGATGTTTTATAATATTTATATATTTATTTTTTTAATGTAAAAGAACTTTGTATTCCTAGAAAACTTAATATTCAACACAAGTTCAAGAAACCCAAATGTACCCTCCTTCAGTACATAGTATTTCAATATTCATACCGTCCTTACTTGTTGCAGTTTCTTTACCTGAACTCTTCAATTTGTAAATTTTATGTTAAACATATGTGATCTATTTAAATATATTTCATTAAATCTTATATTTGGTTTTATTAAAACGCGTATTTAATAAAATAATATTATAATATTATATAAATATTTTTAATAACGATGATTTTAAAACGTTCAACTAACATAACTCTCCTTCAGTACGTAATGCGGTCCGGAACTGAATTTTTCGATACTAAAATTCTCCAAAAACCTTATGTAAACGTATAGAGTGAATTATTATGACCATTATTTTCTTAATGATTTTTTAATTTTATGTACATATCAAATAATCAATGTCTGAGAAAATGAATAAATGAAATCAGTATATTTCTTGAGTAATTTGCATTGAAATTTTAACTACATAATCAGTTATTTATAATAATTAAAATAATAATCATAATAATAAGTAAATACAGCAACAAACTTTCAAAATCAAAGAAAATCAATACTCCATATCAATCTATACAAACTTTTTTTTTGAATTAGTTGATAATTTTTTGACATCAAATTCCCCAAATGCGATATCTATCCTTTTTCAACAATAGGTTAAAATATTCTGAAGAAGTACAGTACATATGAATTAAATATTATTCTTAGAAATAAATTATTTGAATACCTTATGCTATAAAGTGCAAGTAACTGCAATAAAATTTAGAAAATTCTTCTTCTTTTGATAATCTGCTTATACCAAAAGTTAGCTCAAGAAAAAATTATAAAAGTTGACTGTAATTAATCAATTGAATTAATATTACAAAAGACATTAATAAGTGAAGAAGTTATGGAATCGACTTGTGTACTAGAATTGTTGAAGAGCAGATTTCATAAGCTGGTGCGATATTTGAAATACAAATTGTGTAAGCTTGAAATAATCTATAAAATAAGAGAAAATGAATTGTCTAAATATCCAAAGATCTACGAAAAAACACGTAAATGCAACAAAATTAAAATATCTATGTACAAAAATTCCCGCATTCGTTATACCGCTCAAAAATCTAAAACGTGGATGAAAAATCATGAATCAACGGAATTTTGGACAATAATTCTCGATATATATTTAAGTACAAAAAAGAAGTACAAGAAATTTGCTAGTGATGTTAAAGAAATTATTCAAAATATACCTGACCAAGAAAATAAATATTTTATGTCACAGTTGTGTATGGAAATATTATTGTATGTTAATAACCAATTATTTATTTTGAATGAATGCATTTGTAATCATGTAGAAATTAAATATGACAAACATCACTTGAATGAATCTATTGAAGCGTTTCTCACTAATAATGAAAGGGGAAAACTTTTCTATAAATCATACAATCAATTGATTTTAGAAATAGTGAATGTCATTCATGCTTTCAAATAAATTAGTATATATATAAAAGATTGAATTACATTTAAATTTTGTAAATATTATTTTGTATTCAAACTACGTTACATGTTAATTGTATGTTTTTATACATATTAATAGTATAATTTTAAAATTGTTGCTTACGTTTTCCAACATATTTTTTAACTTTACCATTTGTAAATTTTACGTCAAACTAATGTGATTGTTAATTTAAGTAAATTTAATTAAATTTGTAATTTGGTTTGGTTCAAACGTGTGTTAAAAAAAAAATGCAACACTTAGATTTTAAAAAAATGTTTGATGATGATAAAAAAATGATAACATAAGATTCAATATAGACCCAATTTATTTACAAACATCTGATTTTCGAATAACACTTTCAAAAGTAACTAAATTTAAGAGGATATCATTACTTAAAAAATAAATGTATATAGAATTTTATGATTCATTATTTATAATCTATTCTAATTGAATTAGATATATTTGAATACATAAAATAGATTTATTTCAGTTAAGTATGTCAATATTTATAATGGAGCTGCTAATAAACACATGTTAAGTGTGAATAATCAAATTCCCCGTCACAGAAATAAAGGTATATAATGTTGTACGGAGATGCGATAATTGAAGTAATTAGTGTGCGGCATGTAAAAGGAAAGTGCAATTTGCGACTGTAAGAAATTTCGCGTTACCTCGAAGGAAATTACGGATACTACCTTATATTGTAAAGATAGTTAGGAATGTGTATGTTGCACTTGATTACTGAAACTTTTCTAATCATAAATTACTTGTGGAAGAGGTAGTACGAGTAACATCAACATCCTACCTACCTGGTTACCTATTGGGAAACCAAAATTCTGTTCGGAAATTTTTTCGTCTTTGTATTCATAGACCGTATTAAATAAGGTTAAACATGTAGAATTATCTTGGCCATATTTATTTTCAGAAAGGTGTAGAAGACTTTGTACTAGATATTTCAAACTTAACGACCATAACAAGTTTAATACAAATAAGATTAGAGAAGACTGTACATCATCATGATCATTTTAAGCATAGGTTAAGAGAAGCCAGCCCTTTGCGTGGAAGATTGTTTTAAAAATTATCACAAACAATAAAAAAATCGTTTGTTTTTTGATTTTAAATAAACTTTGTATGTTTATATTTTCTGTTCATTTATTAATACATTTTCTGTTCATGTAAGCCAACCATAAATGTTTATCCTATCCTTGAGATTTCCATTCATATTAATACATCATAGCAAGTAAACAAACTACGAGATAATTCGTAGTTGATGTACTACCTCAACGTGTTAATAAACTATTCTTAATCTTATAATTACCCGAATAGTTATGTGAGAAGTAGTATACCGTCATTATCAGTGTTAAAAACTTTCATCGGCATTAAGCTAAATAATATTTCAATCTACTACTATAAAAAGTTTGAAGTTATTATGTAGAAAACTACAAGTAATGGTTACTATGTATTTTTTTGATAAGCCTGTCAATAAAATCCAGAATTTCTACTCTTTATAGTTTTAAAGGAGTTAGTATTAGCATGATCATAGTCTTGATTATTTTCGGAAAAATGTGTATGTCTTTGAATTGAATGTAAATAATATCGCAATTTGCAATGCGTTATTGAATCAACTTGTATTGTTATGAAGGAGATAGTACTACCCTAGTCATCATTCTCCTCATCTTTTACCTATTATTGAATTATGTGTATATTATACCAATAATATTAGGACTTAATACAACGGATATCATTATATTTATGAATCTTTTTAGAAATATACATATATCATCATATTTTATTAATATTGCTACTAAGCTTTTATACCATGCAAGTTACATCAAAAAATATAAGGTCATCTTCGGCAAGATTCATTTTAACTTTCACCAGATACTAGCTATTCACTGGAAAGCTTCTAAATATCATCATAATTTAGATGGAAATAGTAGTACCATAGTCATCAACAAGGTCATCTTTTCAAATATGCATTTTTAACTTTCGCCAGATACTAGTTATATCACTCGTAAGTTTGTACATCACACAAGTTACACCAGAACATATCCTAAGAATTCCCATACTTTTAACTCTTTGAGGTGTGGTGGTACACGCAATGGACCACCTTTTGATTATGCTTAATAGGGAATTATTATAATTTTTTCAAAAATGTATAGGACATAGGAATAACCATTTAATTTGGTTGGTAAGTCAAGGGATGAATCTTGATAGGCCATACCATCCGATGTTGACGAAGTTGTCTGATTCGGTTATAAAAAAATTAGTTGGGTCTAAAAATTTAGGAATTTCTCACATCTCAAAGAGTTAAGAGAAATAGTACTACTATGGTCATGATCAAGGAGCAGATGTTTCATAAGTTGCATTTATAACTATCGTCAGATACTACATCTTAAATACTGTCATCCCTGATAAGCTTGCAATGATGACAAGTTCGGAACATCTTATAACCATCCAATATACTTCTGAAGGAGTGCACATCTTCAGCAAGGTGCATATCTAACCAATATTAGATAGCATGCACATCGCGCAGACAACTTCAGACCCTCTTCTAACCATCCAGCATACTTCTAAAGGTGATAGTAGTACCATAGCCATCATCGTCGTGATCATCTTCGGCAAGGTGCATATGTAACCATCGTACGGAGCGCATGAGGAACGCTGCATTGCGCGGAATCTGGGCGGGTGCGATTAGAAAGTCTCTTGCGCGTCGGATCTGCACGGACGTTCGAAACGCCGCGCGCGAAATCCAGTCGCACTCGCGCTTTCCGCTCAAACACATTGCGACACTGAAACGAATTTATTTCGCGCGTTGCGTTACGAATACGACAAAATAAAATTACAAACAACATAAACATTCTCGTGAACTTCCGAAAAAAAAAGTGTGTTCCCAGTTGGCTTCTATTCTAATCATCATTTATTTGTGCGCTGCAGTTTTACCAGAGAGAGAAAAAAAACTTGTTAACTCGTGATAATTACTACAGCGATTAAGAACAATTATGTAAGTAATTGAAGAATTTTATTGAAAACCCAGTAATTTTTAAAATTTCTTTTTCATTTACTTTGAATGGAAATTGTATATTGTATAGAAACTTTTATAAGCGAATTTGAACTAACAATGTCGAGTTATTTGAAAACAAATGGTTTACACATGTCATTTTAATAATATATGGATTATTGTGATTTATCACAGACAGAGTTGTAAACAATAATAGTGTCAATAAATAATATTATTCTTTTTATTTAAATAAATATAATTCATTGTTATTTATATGGGGTTGGCCTCAAAAATAAATCAAATATTTTGAACAATTGTATTAAATTAAGTGTGATATTTTTACACGATTTATTATTATTATTTAATAAATAAATTTTATTGAAAAATATGAATAATGATGAAAAATAAAATTATATTGCAGCTACTAAGTTTCAGCAAATATGGTTTTTATTAAAAATTAATAAATTGATTTAGTTTAAATGATATTTATTTTAATTTGACTAAAATTATAATAAAATGGAAATAATTAGCTAAAATCAAATTAAACAACATAATATTACTAATATTCATATAATAATTATAAGTACAAAATTTAGTTAATTATCTCAATGTATATGCAATATATAATAATACAAAAAAGATAAATATGCTAACTTTTAGTAAAAAGTATTTTAAGCACTATTTATAACCAAGTTGAAGAAATAGTCTTAACTAATAAAATATAAATTAAACAAACTCATTTTTTTTTAATTTATAATAGAAATTCAGAAGTATGTAGTTTTTTATTAACATAAATAACAATTGAATGCAATTATTTATGCTTTTGAAAGTAAAATGTTTGGTTAATAATATACACAGCTTGAGTCACTTTTATTTATAAAAAGAACATATTTATATGTTCGAAAACACTTCAATAATTTGTGTTGCGAATGACAATGGATAAAGTATTTGGTATTTATTCAATACTCGTCAACACATAAAATTCCAATTGGACAATATATATGTAAACAAAACAGTAAAAATACCATAATAGTTACACAATGTTTTATAGTTTTCATCAGGGTTTCTCAAACAAAAACTCTTAAATTATTATTTGATTTAGAAAATGATATTAATATAATAAATAAGTACTGATTAAATTATATAATAAGCTTAAATTATCTAAAATTATTAGATTAAGAATCGAAGGTGGAAATATTAGCATATATACACAAAACTTTTTTTAAGGGAATTTCTGCTTTCACCTCTCATTGTAGCAAATTATATGCTAGTATTGAATACGTATACGTTTTATTGATAATTTTACTGTTTATTATAACTTTTCTATTGCAATTAAAGTATGCATAACAATTTTAAATAAAGGTTACTGAACTGAATATTCACAGTTGTTAAGTTTTAATTGAAGTTGCAAAAGTATATTTTTTTTGTATGAATTCACCTTCAGCAGAATAGTTGTTGAAGGTGAATTAAATTCACTGGAGCATGGAATAACTATGTAAAAACGTAAATTGCAGATATTTGTATGATGTGAAAAAATACTCATCGAAGGTGAATTAAATGCATATCATATGAACCGTTGCAGAAATAAAATAATTTTGTAAATACTATTATCGAATGCTGTTATTATTTCTTATTTTAAAGTTTATTTTCCAAACCGATGCTTTGTATAATTATTATTGAATATTTGTTTTGTATATTTACAACAATTTTCAACTTATAAATTAAATATTAATTTATAGAGTTTTCCATATTTGACATATACACTTTATTTATAAAATAAAATGGAGACATTTAGTGATTAATACAGCATCATTAGTTCGATATGCTTATATTTATTATGATGTTCCAAAAACAGTCTAATTATATAAACTTAAATGCAAGTCAATAAACTCAATTGAGTAGTTTATTAAGCGGATGGCTTAAGGTATTTAAGGAAAATATTAATTAGTTGTCAATTGTATTAAAAACATATTTATTAGTTTTAATATATTTTTTATTATACTGTTTAATTAATTTATAATCGTTTCAAACATAAAAAACAGGCATTTGCATATTAAGATTTAAATTGTCTTTAAATTCAAATAATACTATTGTTTTGGTGTTTTTAAAGTTCTAGTTAAATTCTCTATATAAACAGAGGAAAGGTCCATTTGTGCTAGTCGTTATTGATTTTTTGTCTTAATGATATTCATGTTTGGCGGAATTTGAATGTACTGTCAGTTGTCAATGCTTTTCCCAAAGCGTAGTACGTGCTGTTTTTTAGATGCATAAAATAATTTACGAAAATCAATACCAAAATACCTTTTTTTATATTAAATTAGAAAGACGAAATAGGCATTTGCATTATAAAACTTTGAAAATTGATGATTATTTGAGAAAATATTATTCGATTATCGATTATTTTATTCCTCTAATTCCGAATAAACTAACATCATATATTAATAGTTGAACATGAAAAAGTTAATATAAGAAAATGTAACAATATTTTTTTTCAACAGCTGAAAAAGTGACCAATAATCGTAACATCATTCGTATAATGCGGTTTCCATATGTATAGTTATACCTTGTTTAGCGCTTTAGATGCGTTCCTGAAGACAGAGCGCTAAACTAAACAGCGTTATAGGAGATCATTTTAACACATATCAAATAAGGAAACAGGAACACGCGACCAAAAATAAACAAATTTTAAGTTGTGTTTATAGTAATTTGTTTTATATAACACGTAAATTTGCACACAGAAATATTAAGTTTATTTTTGTGATGAAGGTCCTAGTTCTTCTGATATTTTTCATTTTTGGCGATAAAAAATTTGGAATCATTTGTCGTTTTCTTTTTCTTTTATTAAGCAAATATTGGTAGCAGGCGATCGCACCCAAAACGGGAATAATCATATTATATACGAATTAATGAAATGCCTCGATAATTTGAATCAGGGTAAATTTTGAGCTTTTTTAAGGCAAACCGCATTGAGGCAGCGCTAAACGAGGGCTAACTGTTTCTTATAACGCGTTTTCCATATTACGTTTTAAAAATATCATTATAATTTTAATAAAGTAGTAAATAAACAATAAATAAATTTCGAACTCCATGAATTATTAAAATACCGAAAGAATAAAACTGGTAAAACAACAACATATAATATTTCTTCTCAGACAAATGAATAAAACAACAACGACCAATTTCGTTTACTAAATTGCATGTAATGGACTAAAAAAGGCATGACAAAATATCGCATTCAAGGTAATTTATTGATTTAAAACCATTTTATTGAATCGGAGAAAAGAAAGATTATAAAAAATAAGAACTTATAAATATATATCAAATCGAAATTCACAATTTAAGTTCATTGATCTGTCACTAAGTGATGAAAAAAAAAACACAATTAAGTCGATCTATTTCTTATAGTCATATATATATTGTAGGTCCCCAATTATGTTGAAATAATAATACGATTAATTAGCGGAATTCTTTCAGAAATTCCATTTATGTAACTCCCATTAGATTTAATGAGCGAATTTCTTATTATTCAAATGTATACTCTCAAATAGCTCTCGGTCTCGTTCGGTTACGAAAATTCTATTATATGCAATTATGATAATACATTTATTATTTCCATTACGTTTATTTTCTTTTTTTGTTTTGTTTTCGTTTCCATTGGGATTTATTTTCCCGTTCTCTCAGTAAAAGTGAAAGGACGCGTATTACAGTTATAAAGCATATACACAGATTGTGCATGTATAGGAATGTGTATGTATATATATACACAATGTGTCGCAAGTGTTTTAGACGTACGTATGTGCTCGTTTCCCAACGAAATATTGTTCGATTGTATATAAATATATATATGTATATATATTGTACGTAAAACCACGGAATGTTTATACCCGCTGGGGCGTTAAATTAATAATATTGTAAATCCAATCGGGCCTTCCATAATGGTATTTTTCTATCCTCTTTTTTTTCGATCGCACTCTCTCCTTTTTACGTCTCTCTTTTTATTGTAACCGGAGGGCGGCCAATTTTGAAAACGTAAATTCCGTTAAATTAAAAACCAATATGAGTAAATGTGTGCATCGGAAAAAGCATAAAGCAAACACGGTATTGAAAATAATTAATATTGCTTTTTGATATAGCTTATTTATTATTTGTGCTTTTAAATAGTCAATATGAGTACCATTATTTATTAATAATCGTGTACGTTATTAAAATACAACATTGGTTTGAAAATTGAAAACATTAAAAACTTTTTTCGTAATTCCATGTTTGTTACAATAATGAGTTCAAATAATGAGTTCTAATCAATTTATTTTGGATTTATTAAGTTTTTAGTTATTTTTAATTATTTCGAAATAATTTAAGCAGATTTAATGAAGTTTATGGCTAATTATATTTGTTTTAAAATAAAAAAATATTACTGTAATATGTTTTATTACGTAAGATACGATACTCATATTATTTTCTTTCTTATTTACTAGAATATATTAAAATGTTTCTAAAATAATATCAATTTGTTTAGTAAATTTTAAATTTATAGCATAAATTCTTAAGCCTGAACATAAAATTTCCTGATAAAATGTTTCTAATTATTTTTAGAATTTTCTTTACGAAAATAGATCGAAATGTTCCTAAAACGAATGAAATATATTTATTACAATGAATTTTTGTCTATAACTTCCATGCATTTAGTCAAAAATATATTATCAATATTTTTTAAATATTAATTTCATTACAAGAATTTTCTTGAAAATTTTTATTCCTCAGTTCTTCTCATTAGCAAACATGTATATGTTTATGTTTTATAAACATAATTAATTGGTATAATTTATGAAATATTATATATTTTTCTTTGTAAAACTTTTATTTAACGTTATGAAATTTTTATTATTGTTTCTGAAATTAGTCATTAAGTTGAAAAATATTTATCTTTAAAACTTTGAATTCCGAGAAATTACTCACCATTATATGTTTATTGTAATTTGGATGATGTAAGAATATTGAATAAT